AACGTAATCATGTTTGAATAAATATTTTTGAGTTGTAAGCATTGTTTCGCTCCAAATCCTTATCGGAGTTCTCCGTATTTAAGGAGTTCCCTCAGTGAACCAATATACGATCCAGAAGAGAAAATGAAATCCGCTGCATTGGTGAGTTGACAATCTCTCCACTATCTGCTTATACAACTACCTCTGTCATACATCATTGCTTCCAGATTCTTCTTTTCTCCGTTGGGCTATGTTCTGCTACTTCAATCCCCGTTTCAGTGTGTGAAGTCACAGAGGTTTGGCAGCAATGTGCGTCTGCATGTGAGCCAACATGTGAAAATCCTAACCCTGTAAGATCGTTACTACTTTCTTATGAGAAGTCCTCCTTTCCAGGAAATCTGCACCTTTCAATGTTTACCTGCTGCTTGTCAATGTGCTGAAGGTTTCGTCCGTGACAAAACTACTGGGAAATGTGTTCTGCCAGCATCTTGTAGTTGTGAGTCTTTGTTTGAGATCATTCCCAAAAAGATCTTCTCAAAATTCAGCTTCCGGAAAGTGTGGTTTAAACGAAGTTTACGATGAATGTTATTCTCACTGTCAACCATCCTGCAATTATCTCAGTGGAATCACGGTTTGTTCTTCAGATTATCATCATTCTCCCTATTTCTTTCAGAAACCCCAGATTTGCAACGCTATATGCATACCAGGGTGTGTATGCGCTCCTGGATATGTTAGCTTCGGTAAAACAGACACATTCTCAGGCTTCTGCCTACCTGAAAACTTCTGTACCAACTATATCCAGAATTCACTATTCACGAATTGGTGAAAATAATTCATTTAATTCTTGATTGTAATGTGTTGTACAAATAAAGTTCGAATGCTTTTGTGATTTCTTTTTTTAAAGTCGTTCAAATACTTTCAAGTGAATAACCTCAAGGAAACTTTAAATCATTCCATTTCGCTTCTAGTATGTAGGCCTAGTCTTGAATAGTGACTTGCATTGGCTGATGAACTTCAGATTCATGAGTTGGTACAGAAGCTTCCGAATCAAGAGCTGGTCATAAAGCTACAGAAGCACGAGTTAGCTAAGGAACATGAGATTTGGAGGCAAGAGTTCGCGAAATGCTTCAGAAGAACGAATGGCGAAGTCGCATGAGTTATCTAAGAAGCATGAGTACTCTAAGAAGCATAAGAATCAAGCTGATCTTGAAGCTTCGGAGACCTGAGTTGGCCATGAAGTTTCAAAGGTGTAAAGTAGCCAAGAAGCTTCCTAGTCATGAGTATGCCAGAATTCTTCAAGAGCATGAGTTGGTCAAGAATGTTTCCTTTAACGTTAAATTGGCCAAAACAAAGGTTTGAAAAAAGGTATGAGCAGAGCTCATTGAAATTCCCAGTCTTTCCTCCGGTATGAATACTCTGATAAGAAGAAATAAGAGGATTTATCTTTATCTAAACGTCGCTCTGATAAATAGTTTAGAAGGAGGAATTATGTTTTAAACTTACTATGATCCTATTTACGGATGAAACAAAAAATATTGTGCTACTGTGTTTACAGGCAATAAACGAAAGTAATAAAATGAAAACGTAATCATGTTTGAATAAAT